ACCAGGAGATCGAGGGTGGAGGATGAGAGAGCGATAGATGGGTGAGATGTGGAAGGGCTATGGGAAACGACCGAGGAATGGTTTCTTCTTTGACTACGAAAGTGTTTGTAAGAAGGGTTGAGAGCTGTTTTAAGCTGACCGATCTTCCTATTGAGCCACCAAGGTCAAGTCGAAAGAAATAATCATTGTTTCCCCCGGTAGATCTTTCATCAGCTTCTTCCTCCCAATCTTCTGCCTCTTCTTTGATCGATCCTTCTACTACACTGTCATCCTGTATTGGCAATAGAAGTATGTTCTTCAAGGCTTGAAATCCAATTCCTTCTTCCGGCCCATAGACCGCAATATAGCTCAAAAGCCCCATCCTCAAGCTCACCGGCAACAATGCCAGATTGTTCGACTCATAAACACTCATATTCTGCCAGTCCCTTGCCAATCTCTTCAAACAGGTTTCTAACAAACTCCTCCCTCTATCAGGCCCATTTCCATTTATATCATCGCCTAGACCAGGAAAATAGCCTACCCCACTCGGAATTAACCTTCCATCTTCACCCAAACCGAATTGCCTTCGCATATCAGGAAGTTCGTATGCCCTTCCTTTTAGCCAACTTATGGGTGGCGCAGGACCAGCTGGTATGCGACGACCATTGTCATCAAAACGTCGGCTGCGTAGGGGTCTGCGAGGAGTGGGAGAGGGGGTCTCCGGTTGGGAGAGGAGATGGCGAATTTGAGGTGGAAGGGTATGAGATGATGGACTGAGGGAAGAGGCCGCGCGGAGGTGTTCAGTAGGAGAGATATTTAGTCTCCGAGCGGAATTTATCAAATCGTTTACGGACGAAACATTGTTGTCTGTTACACAATGCGCGCATTAGTTAAGTGATGGATTGAAGGGTGGCGGGGTGGACGTACTTTGTGATGCCGATGTCGATGCAGAAGCATTGGAATTGAGTGATGGATGAACTGTACTCGCAGGTTTTGAAAACTGTGGTGTGAACCTCTTTTTCGGCATGAAGAATAATTTTGGTTGTTTTATTTGTTGTTAGAATATGAAGAAGGTTGACAACGGGGGATGAGAGAGCAATGATGATGTAGTTATGTTGATGATTGCTTCAGCACGGTCCAGCATAGAGCCATGGAGCTACCGATGGAGCTACAGGGTCGAGAGGGTCAAGACTCAACACTCAATACAGCGGAGAACACCATCTGCATGGGCCGCTTCGAGACCCTAGAACCCTGTCAACTTGACATTTACAGCACAGTAATAAATAGGCGAGCACGCGAGATTGATGAAGGGGTCACTGAGAATGGGTTTTATGTACGAAGTAGTCAATAATGGAGTTCTTATTGGGGTTTGTATGTCTGTATTGGTGATGTATTGGTGATGTGGCTCGTAATCCTCATTATCAATCATGGTAATTACTCCACATTACTAATGCTAATATGTATCTTGGAACCGTTGACTCATTTTGACCTAAAACATTATACATGACAGTAAGATTGAAAGGAATAGGATTGGAGTCATACAATGCATTACAATCGAACAAAGGGCTGCCCGTCCAATGTGAATAGGTCTTAGCACTCAAATCATACTGTGAGTTTTCTGTTCCGTAGATTGATTCGAGTCTTTGATACTTGACTGGATTATAGAATGCTTCCCCCATTGACTATTTTGAATCGAAGTACGTACTCCAAGAGAGAGGAGCAATCCATGACTGCCCGAATCCCTTTTAGTAAATAGCAAGGTGCTAGTTTATCCATACTCTGGTATCATCACATGATCGAGCTAACTTTTTCATTGTTAGATTTATTGAAGCTACTACGTACACAATATAGTGTCACCCTCGACACCCCTCAACCCACTCGTTCCTCTTCACAACCTCACAGTACAACATTTCAAACTATCTGATTGCACTAATTGTATTTAGAGATCGAGACCCTCAAATAAGTATAATCAGATCACAACCTGGATCTCACAAGCACTGATTTCAGACTTCTCATACGTTGTTGTTCTTTCTATATAGGTTAGTTATCACCGTCACTATATCATCATCATTGATACTAAGCTAGAATGTCTTGGTGAGAAGTACCTTCATTACATACGTCAATCAATCTCCCCTTCTCCTACCTAAGGAACGTACACAGTCTACAGCTGTTGGATAAAGGGAGGGACGTAGCAGAGTATACACGGAGAGATGGGCTTTCCCTTCATGGCCCAACTGATGCTCCGATGTGCACAAACAGTACAAACTCGTCTATAGTGAGACTAGGTTCAAATTCATGTTCTTATAGGACTATTAAACATTGAGCATAATTCGTCTTTTGCATTCGTTCAATACAAACGGCGATGATGTCTACTATAAATACGCTTCAACAATTTCTCTAGTTTTCCGCCACCAACCAATTGATGGATTGTGGAATATCCCATAGAAGTGTGAACTTTGGAAGATACTCTGATAGGAATGCGGCAGAGGTTGGGAACTCGCACTTCCCTGGGACTTCTTCAAATCTTTCACAGCTTCCCACTTTTACTCATTTCATCTCTTGTTGCCAGATTTATGGACAGAGACACAATGAATAGGTGATGGTGATGGACGAGAGTGGGGAAGTGATAGCAGGGACGCAGGGCGACAAACTATAATGATACTGATGAATCATGCAATGTCAAAAACACTAATCCATATCTGCATTTCCATGGTAGATGCTTTAATCTTTTTCTTTATTTACACGCGTCACAAATAGCACCAATCGTTACTTTGCCGCAACGAAATCTACCCGCTCAAAGAAGAGTGTTATCTGGAAAGACTCACATTAACCTCGACCTTTAAACGCTGTTCTGGTTCGTTCTAGCTAGAGGGTGGCAAAAGTAAAACATTAGGGGTAGTGGAACGAAGTATATATAGGAAAATGGACTTGTCCGTGCTAGTCTGAATCAAGTGTGCAAACGGGACAAACTTGTCCCAAATACGCTCTAAGTCTAAGAACTAACTACAAAAGTCACTCTCCGCTCTTCCTTCTTTTCTTCCGCAGAAATCAACAGCGGCTTTAGACTGGACCTAAAGGGGATTGAAGCAAGCCTCGCTCATTCTTGCATGCTGTAAACAATGCTTTTGTAGCTGTATTGTTTTGCTACAATTGAGATTTTGAGATCAAGCATACTTTATTCCCCTGAATGCAATCTCAAGAGAAGCACATGGTTCATGAGTGACAAATATTCGTAGTGATAGTGAAACCTTGTAATTGTAGTATCAAGAATTGTGCTAAGAACACCAAACGAAAGCGAATTTGACAATAAAAGAATAAACAATCACTGGATGATTATACTTTTCTATACAAGTTTGACTCTTCGCTTGACTCCACGGTACTCGGTAGAGTCTACGAAACCAGAGAAGCAAAGGAGGTGCATACTATCCATCGAGCCCTGGGAAAGCACCGAGCCATCCACCATGCCTCTTTTCCTACCTCTACTCTATCCAAAGTGGCAGATATCATTCAAGTATACCACAAAGCGGTCTTTGGGACTATCATCGCTTAGTAGAAGCAGTAGTCTCTGAACCGAAATCAGCATCTTGCCAATCTTTGATCATCGTTTCAACTCAACATTTTCAACATATCGCTATTACAATCTTGCCTTAATCATTCTCATTATTTCCAGAGTCTCATAGTCAGTAAAATGATCTGACAACGGTGGTAATCACTACAACAGGTATCTCAAGAGCACAAGCAGTACATTTCTCGTTCAGCAGAAATATGCGAAGATACTCCCTCGCACACATCTAGCCCCCAATCATAGACACAGCACCTTGCAAACCGACCCTGCAGTCCAATAGCAGATACTGGAGAAGAAAAGAGAGAATTGGAGGAGTGAGAAAAGGTTTAGATAGTAAAAGTGCCTGGTCCATGCGAGACCGACTCGTAGCTCGAATTTGAATAAACAGGTCAGACTTATCCAAAACTTCCTAGAAAAATTAATGTGATAGGTCTTCGTTCAAAAGACACGAACATGATCTCTCTATCTCCGTGAGCAAGAGCTACTAGAAGAATTAAAAAATTTACGTTCAACTCCATGGAAAACATCATGAAAGCATAAATATCACTCTAATGTCATTTCACCAGTCTATACATCTACTACTACTAGAGTAAATCTTGGCCTCAAAACTACACCATACTCGATTAAGACGCGTTTGTCATGTTTGTCTAGAATTGAAACCCTCGATTGAGCTCGTACGGACCACGCAATTTTTCCACTTAAACATTCCTCCTTGTCAATTTCTCCTTTTTCCTTTCATACACAGCGCAAAATGCGCTCAGCGCTTTTTTAGGTTCAAATGCAGTTTCTTTCTTGGCTGTTTTATTTGTAAAATTCTTACCTAGTGAAAAGGCCGTAAGTCTGTAGACTGATGACTCTTGATGGGTCAGATGCGAGAGTTAAGAACGTGTTTTTATCGCAGAAGTAAAATCTTCGTTGTCATCAAGTTTCTATTTTTGTTGTTGTCCATTCGGTTATGTAATTGGCTTTGAATAATATTGCCGCGGCGAAACTAGAATAATCACTGTCGTTTAAGATACATTCTCGTTTGGGTGACTTAGCCATACTTCCTTTCCGTGTTTCTAATTGTATCTGATCTCATTCCAGAGCACCATGACGCCGTCTGATGAGTAGTTGCGTGTGAAAATTCAAGCGTTCCGACTTTCGACACCTTACGAGGGAAGATATCCGAGTACTTATGTCTGAAGGAATAGGATAGAAAGAGTTGAAGAAGTAGAAGGGGTTTAAATAGGAAAGCCTGCTAGTCTGTGCTAGCCCCATGCGTTCGAGCAAACAGAACAACTCAGCTGAATCAGACTCAGCGCAATTCATGTTTAAGCAAACAGGTCAAACAGGTCAAACGGAAAAAACACGTTCTAATTGGGTAGAGGCTCCTCCCTCGAGCCGTGATTTACTTGACTACTCGTTGTATAGATCTCACGGGAACAATAAAGTCCCCAAAATGTTCTAGATAGGAGCAGATATTCAAATCTCGCTTATAATAATTTCTACCAAATACATCCTACATTTAAGTCTACTCGAATGAATATTTCTAGATTCAATATTAGAAACACAGCCCAGTAGCTGAAGGGAGCTTTCTGAACTTATACGTCACCACCCCACTTCACCTTCCCCATTTTCTCTCTCCAACTCTCTCCCCACCATATCAACATTCCCACTGGTATATCACTCAACCCAAAAAGACCAGCGAAGTTATACCAAGCCCAGAAATAGCCGATACTTTCAGCTAGAGGCAAAGCAAAATAACCCACTAAAAATGATGATTCTCTCGAAATATTAAAAAGTATCCCCGTCTCCGGGGTTTGCGGCTTGTAACAATCGGAGATGTAAGAGTAGAGCGTTGTAGAGCATATTTGAAGACTGAAAGAACCTACGTGTGATTATTCGTAAGTTTCTAGTATCATGATAGGTAGAATGTAGGAAGATTGCTGGGAACATACCTATCCCAAGCCCAATAAAAGGTCCCACCAACCCCGTTTTCCCCAAAAGTCCCCCGAATATCAAAAGTCCAGCGTGCATGAAAATTGCAGATAGTGGCGAGAGATATAAAATATGCAGCGGCTTTCTCTCGCCATTGTGTCGTTGCGCCATATGATACATGATGGCATATGAAGCGCGACCAGCGCGTAGCTCGCCTATAATGCTTCCAACAGTCAAGGAGATACCTAAACTGACACCAACAGGTCAGCTTTTGAGATGGTAAAATCTGGTGTAGATGGTGGCTAGGAAAATGGCAGGGAGAACATTGATATATGTCCAGACCAATCTATAGTACCAGAAAGTAAACAAGACCAATGGATAACTCAAAATGCGGAATGCATACGAAAAGTCCCCCATGTGCAGTCTTCTCGTGGTGCTTTTGCTCCCCTTGAAATTGAACAACGTCCGGAAGTAAGTTCGTTCGTGTATTTCCGTAGCAAGAGCCACGGTATCGCTACAAAATAGCGTTTCCGAGAAGGAGAAAATAGCAAAATGAAGAGCTGAACCGGTGATAATAGCACCGACCCAACAATCCCATTGCCAACCACCTGCTTAGCCTATATAGTCACCAATAAGTGCGGAAATATGAGCACCATTCGTCAAAAATATGGAGTAGATACCAGTTTCTCTCCTCGCTCATAGTCGGGACTGTAGTTTGATGGTCGTAAGATTTTAAGACCTAAACGGAACCAGGAAAACCTAGTGTCTGGAAGGTTGAATATATTCCGAATTTGAAACGATTCTTAGACATTAAAAGACTCGGCTGAAGGACAAGCGGTAGACCATGACGATCTAACATGATAGCCAAAACTTGCGAGATCGTGCTACCAATCTCAAGATTTGCCAACATTATCTTTTCGCTACCCCCTTTAGAACTCATTCTGTGACCTTGGCTATCACCATTGAGCCCTCGATCGTCTGCCATTGTGAATAGTGGCAATCAAAATTCCTACTATCAAATCAATATCCAAAAAAGAAGTGATTATTGTTCGTACATAAACACTTCATGTCGACAGCTTTCGGAGCACAAATTACTACATCGTCCCGTCAGTATGGTTCTCCCGCCCGAGCCCCTCCCTATCAGATGTCCGGATTGTTTGCCAACCAACATTTGCAACGGTTAGTAGCTCAATCAAGAAGAAAAAGGATCCTGTGAATTATTCTGTTCACTAACCCAATGAAAAGTTCAGAAGTTCATGAGCCATGACAAGTAACGGAATTACTTGATACTACATCTTCAACCAATCGAGCCATTTCCACAAATTTATAAGCGCCAAAATATCGCAAAGCTGCAAATCCAGACGGCAGCCGGCACTTCAGGTCTATTGTATTTCATAGTGCCAAGAGTTGATCAGCATCAATTTACCATCTTTTCCAAGATCAGAACCAACCCTGGTTACATTTTTGTCTCGCCGTTTAAATTGAACTTGTGATAATTCGACAAACAGGGTCCACCAAGCCGGCTATTGAAGAATTTTCTCTGGGCGGAATATGCAATCAACTACGATGTGCAGATTAAGTTATTAAGCTTATATCTTTATTGGCATGGTGCAACTGTTTGCTGCTGCATGCTGGTGATTCGATGACAGAGATACAATTTGATTGGTATGAATTGTGACGAAGCGTCTTATGCTAGTGATAATCCGGGTAAACGAGGTCTAAGCTCTACCAATAATGTGATCACAATGACCCCAGCCGCAATACTGTTAAAGTACTGCAGAAATATGGTCTAAGGCCTTGTAGGCATCATAACCAAATAGTTCATCCAAGAATTCCTGCCGGGACCGTATATTCATATGTCCTTGCCAAATACCAGGATGGGTCAATAGATATTCATCCCTAAGTTTTTGCGAATCTCCATCAGGCATTTGTGTAAAGTATCGTGAATCAATTGAGGCTTTAGCAACCTTCGCAGTCCGCTTTCGTCGAAGATTACAATACATCGATAATACTTCTGGAAGAGAATCCTTAGTAGGAAACTTCTCCAGAAGCGCGCCAAGTATAGCTGCATCCTCGATACCCATGGCTGCTCCCTGCGCGAGATAAGGCGTCATAGCATGGGCTGCGTCTCCAATTAGACAAAGTTTTCCTGAGTTATGAACCCAGCTGTCTAGTTCTTCATGAGTATACAACTGTCGCGCGTATACATTAGCAAATTTATTATAATTAAGGACAATTACACTACCCTCCATTCCAAAGCGGTATCCACATGATCAAGGATCATTCCAATTCTGTTTATGCGTCAACCGTTGTTATATCCTCCTGCAACTTCTCAATTACCTTGTATCCCAATCTTTGAATCTGTCTCGAAGCTCTGCACTGCTTTGGATCCGCTGGTTTGTTCCATCCGGCATATTTGTATCACACCTGAAATCGTCACTAATATTGCAAAGTCAAGCACTAAAAGGAACATACTGACGTGAAGACAAGATTCAATAGTTTTTCCTCCTTTCCCTCCAGCAGATATGATAGAACGGTCGCATTAGGACCAAGCCAGTGATTGTTTCGAGGAACGGAGATAATCTCCTCCAACTCAGGAATGCCTTCAAGCTTTTTGGCTGGCAGTACTACACGATAAGCCATTTGACCGGTTGGAATGGGTGCTCCAGTTCTGCCTAGAATAACTTCGCGGGCCATTGAATGTAGACCTGCAATTTGACTGTCAGACTTAAAATATCACAAGAGCCAGTAGTTAAGATAGTTACCATCAGATGCGACGATCAAGTCCGCAGAGTAAATTTTACCATCTTGTGTGGAAAGCGCGGGCAGGGAAGGATCAATATTGACCACACGACTGTTCAATCGAATTTGGCAACCAAGATTCGTCGCAGCTTCGAGTAATCCACGGTGGAGATCCGCACGATGAACATGCCTATTTTCTGTTAGCTCACTTGTCCAATTGAGTGAGTTCAACTAACCAATATGGAGACATATAATCGTTTTCCGCAGGCACTTTCAACGGGCATTCGACAAGAATCTGACCATCTTTCCAGCGCATCATCCTCAAATCCACTGGATTTGTACAATACTTCTCAATGTAAGAATCGATTCCCAACTTACGAAGAATCTTTGAAGAATTTGGTGTGACCTGAATACCTACAAATCGTGAACAGATGCACATAAAATCGGTGTGCTGAATTGCAATGAGTGCACCCGCGTCACTTACCAGCTCCAACATATGAGATTCGCTCAGAACTTTCTAGTATCTCCACAGTGTGACCTCCTTTTGCAAGTGCAATAGATATGGTGAGGCCAGCAAGCCCGCAGCCAATAATTAAGATATGCTATCCCTGTCAGATTCTAGTTCCTAAAATGATACGCGGAAGATCAAATACCATGGTGAAGCGAAGTTACTTTGAATTTGATTATTCAAAAACCATCAAACAGATGAAAATAATGACGAGAGTTGAGATGGCAGTGATAATTTGAAATGAGAATTGTGTCTCTACCTTTTTATTTCTTCATGAGAAACAAGTGGCGGACACGTAGATTATAGGGTGGTCAAGACGGATGGATACTTCCGCTTCCCTTCCCGGGAGGTATAGTTTGGTCATGATCGCAACTATCTAACGGCTTTGTGACTAGTCTATCAATTACACACAATAGCATTGAATATAGATAATATATTGCTGCATGATTAGAACATCGAGAAAATATCCACTGATCAGGCCTTGCCGGATGTAATGAAATTCGAGGCTGAAAGCGCCAAGCGAATTGTAATCGACTCAAACATAAAAGTGCAACAACGGCGAGTGTGACATGATACAAAGAGGCTCGATATATTGAAACAAAATGACATAACTAAGAAGGTATAGAATAACTTTTGCTAACGTAGTAATGTCCATTTCTCAAAGTTCTGGTTCTCATGCAAAGCATACAAGTAATACCACCAACCTTTAACCATCCAATTCCTTTCTAGCAATTCCCAAATGCTTGACATGCATATATGCATGGATAGCCGCCCTTCAACGTAAAAAGCGTTCAACGGCCCGGGTTTCCAATAAATCCTTACCAGGAGCCGTGTAATGAGTCTAAGATAGACTCGGTCTATTTACAGCACGCATCACAGCATACAGCTCACCGTTTAATCGTGTCATCATTAAAACAATATCTTGGCATGATGCTCAATCTTGTTTCTTTTCCTTTGCTGCCTCCAATTTCTTCTTCCCTTCCGCATGCTTCGCCATCTTTTCACTCATATACCGCCACGTTCGACGGAATCCAGCTGTGAAGGGGCCTTTCAAACTCTGACTCGTACTAGGCCATCCAATCGTGTTCTTGATTACACTTCGGACTTCAGATCTTAAATCTTCTGGAGGTTCTCGGGCAATCCGTCTTTCAAATCCACCCCCTTCTCTCCTATTAATCCTTGTCCCGTCTTCATCACGCGAAGCCTCAATCATTTGATCAAATTCTAGTCGGGGTATTTGGTATTTCTTCTGGTATTGGAAGTAGAGCTTCGATCGAAATGATTTTGGCAGACGTCTCACCATGTTTCCCCGTCGAATTGGGTCCATATCTTGAGTTAACCGTATATTTGTTGATGGATCAGATGCCCATTCTGGATCGGAGCACTTAGAATCGTTAAAGTCGACATTAGGAAGGTTGTCAATGAGAGGCGCATAGAGTCGGCGGAAGTGAGGAAGGTTATTCCCAACAATATTGGCGACTTTTGACGGATCCTCTGTCGGTAAGACCATTCTTGGATCACCCAAGTAACTGATGTTTGCAATGGTGCCATACAATTCCTGTTCGGTAAATTCAGGAGGTAAAAGTAACAATGCTGTTCGCAATGCAGAGATTAAATTAACCTGATTCGCAAGACGGACTCTTGCGTCGTCCCGGAGAATTTTGACAGGCTTCTGTAACCTGCCTGCAAGATACAGTGTTGACCACTCAGAAAGGTCTGTACACAACGTATCCAGATTAACGACACCATATTTAATAAGAGTGCCATTGACCGTAACGTATGGATTGAAATAGACACCAGCTCCCCATTTTTCTTGCACAGCAGTAACAGCCCCAGATCCGAGTGAGCCGAGCGCCGAGTAATGATCTCGATGTTGATTTAAGTTCAGGGAATGCCAATGTTGACTGTAGGATACACCAAATATAAAGTCTATCATCTTAGGGGTGCCTCCTTGTTGTTCAACAATTGCTGGGGGTGGTTTCGAATGAATGGATGTAATGCTTGAAGGTTTCGCTTTCGTATGTTTCGATTGAGGGAAGACGCCGGATCCATACGCAAATGCATACCTAATTGGGGCTCTGAATTGCCATAAGATCTGCCTCAGAGCTTCTTTGAACTCATCGTTGATTACCATGTGCTGATTGACCCCAAAATTAGAATGAGGTAGTTCTGAGAACTTTTCGATATTGTAGTTTGGATTCTCTTCCCAATCTGCCGGGGCTGGAATGTCGCTGGCCGAGCTTGACGATGAGGAAGAAGAAGACGAGGAATATCCGGCAGATGCTGAACCAGTGGAGTCCTCATGTGTGGATTTTGTTTGCGAGTCTGTAGTTTCTTTGGAAGCAACGGCAGGACTGTGCGTCGTAGAGAAAGTATGATGAATCAATTGATATGGACATCTTGCCTGAGCGTATGATACTGAAGAGCCTACTCTGGTCGATCTGAGAGCTGATCTCAGAGCCTGCCAAAGAGCTGTTAGCTACAGAGCACAGAACAATAGGAAGGGATTTGTGCCAGTACAGGGAGCTTTCGGGTTGCCATGGTGTTAGGTTTTTAAGGAGATGTGATCCCATGTGAAGAATTTTGGTTTGTTGTTGGAAGAATTATTCCGAAGCAGCAAGTCGCTGCGAAAGTGTCACCGGCTGTATTTCGCCATATGAATACGTTGTTGAATCTCCATCTCCATGGGAAAGTATGGAGCTATCAAGGGCAAGGAAACCCACCTTTTCTTTCTCGAAGTCAATCTTAGTCAGCAAGCAGTTGGTGCCCCGTGTCGAGTCTTTTGTTGGCGTTAATGTTTCCTCTTAGCAGCGGGAGGTGCCAGACCAAGCCAAGCCAAAGTCGGCCAGGTACAGATCGATTGGACAAGTCTTGGTCTAATAAAGTTAAAATACAGACTTGCGAGAATTTTGGGAAGAGAGTACGTACCTAGTACCTGGTATTATATATGCACGCTCACGCACCGTACAAAGTGTTCAAGTAGAGCTTCGGCGGCTTTTACATGAATACATACCTAGGTAGGTATATACCTAGTGTCTAGATGACTTATTATCGCAGGTTTAAGAAGTCTTATTAAGCATCTCACCTAGATACTACGTAGGACTAAGGGAGATGCTCAAATGATTCAATTGATGAACTCGGGTCGGAATAGACTGGACTAAGTGTTGATGATTGTCTAAGGTCAATCAATGTTCATGTTCCTATTCCAGCCAATATCATTATTGAAAGAGCATTCTTTGGGACAACATATAACGAATGGTAAATCGTCGAATACCTAGGTACCTATCTAAAATACCTCCAGCTACCTACCTTCCTGTCTGCCTATCTAGGTCGTCTTAACTTATCCATCTCATCTTCTAACCATCTCTCAAAATTCACTTAAAACACTCTTCACCCCGCCAACCATTTCCCCATATTTTCTGTCTTCTCCGGTACCTTGATTATGTAATACATATTATCTCCTCTCCATTCTCAGCCTTGCATCACAGATTCATGTTTGCGACGACTATCGACGTAACGCCAAAACACAAATCCGCAGGTAGCGGTACGTATCAGAGATGAGGGCGCACACTCCTCAAGGTTTGGGAGATTCTCAAAGAAGAAGATCCTCGACTAGCGGTGGTAATAGAATGAGTATGGGTAGTGCTATTCCTCGTGCGCAATCTAGGGTAAGGAATTAATCTTTTTGTCTTGCAATTTCATTTGTACACAATTGCATTATCTCACGGGAATATGATTCATTAGATGTCTATTGCACGACCATCGAATACTCAACCTAGTTTCGACTTCTTGACAGGCGCGGAATCTACTCATAGACCGCCCTCGCGAACAGATCGATTTCGCCAATCAACCCGAACCATACTCGATGAATCTAGAAGAGAGCCAACTCACTCCGAGACGGATCAAGAGGCGGAAAAAAGAAGAAAAGAATTGGATGATTTGAAGGCCGAAGTGAAGACTTTGAAATATACAATTGATAATCACAAGCAAGAAGAACAGCTTGCGAAGTTGAGGCATGAGAATGAACTCCGGGATGCGACACGTAAAGCTGAAGAGGATTTCAAGCACAAGCAAATTGCAGAAGGAGAAAGAAATCAGGCAGTGAGGCAATATGAAGCTTTGGCTAAAGAGATGAGTGAACTTCGCGACACTTCAAGTAACGACAAGATAGCACTAGAGAAAAGAGTGCGTGAGGTGGAGGAGAGCAAGCGTCTCCTGGAAGAAGAAATTGAGGATGTTAAAACCGAGAGTGAGGAGGGAACTCGTATATTGGAAAGGAGAATTTCGGAGCTTGAAACGAGAAATCAGACCTTACAGCGCAGCGTCCAAGATTTACAGGAGGATTCCGATCGAAGAGAAGCCTTGTTACAGGATGTTCAGCAACAATTGGCCGAAAAAGATACATCATATGGAGCACTTGAGGCTGAAGTCCTACGGCTTAAGGCGCAGACGGGAGATACCGATACACTGGAGGTGATCAAGAAAGAATTGAGCGAGCAAGTCACACACATTCGAAACCTGGAAGCAATGAATCGCGAACAATCGGCCGAATTAAAGCATTACAAGAGACTACATAAGAGTGTGGAGGTTGTCGAGGAAGAGAAACGAACTTTACAGAGAAAAGTCGAGGCTATGGATGATCTACAGAATGAGCTTGGAGAAGCAAGACTTCAAAGACAAAGACTTGAGGATGAGCGTTTAGCGTGGACCGCATACCTTCAAAATCAGAGCAATGTTGAAGGTCGTATTGAGTTCAATTCCCCAGAAGATCTGGCAAGAGCACTCGTTGAAGAAAGAATGCAAACTGCTACTTTAGTGGAGCGACTTGGTGCTATCGAGTCGGAGATTCTTGACCGGGATAACATTATTGACGGGCTACAAAATGAGAAGAGGTCTATGAGCGGAGAAATGGAGAAAATCAAGGCGGCGGCTGGAAGTAGTACCAGCGGTGGAGATGCTAAGGTTCGTTTACGACTAGAGAGACAACGCGCTTTGGCCATCAAGGAAGTTGAATATTTACGAGCGCAGCTTAAGACTTTCGATGCTGAGGATGAAGCTTTCGGAGCTGGCGATAACGTTGATGATGCGAAAATTAAACGTATTGAAGAGCTCGAGAGTATTGTGGATGAATATCGTCAAGAGGTACAATCTCTCCAGAATGATCTTACGACCGCCGAATCAGCTCAACCCAACACAGCAACAACTCTTGCGGGTACCAAACATCCACGAGAAGAGAACGACGAAAATGAACGCATTGGGGCCCTCACTAGGAAGAACCGTAAACTTCAGGACACTATCACAAACCTTCAAACATCACAAAAGCTCCTCCAAAAAGAACTTTCTGTCACACAAGAACGTCTTACAGTTGCAACCACTCACTCACAGACTCGCATTCTATCCCTTCGTTCCAATCCCACCTCTGACTTTGAGGCCATCAAACTTTCCACCATCACCGCCCTCCGTGCCGAAAATGCAGACCTCCTCGCTCAACTGACCACCAATCTCCCTCCTGATGCCTCAGTTCCGTTATCTACGCTTCAAACCCAACAAGACCTAGTTGCAGAATCTCAAGCTGCACTCAAGGATGAACGAACTCGAAATGATCGTCTCAAGAAAGTCTGGGGACTTAAATCTCAAGAATTTCGTGACGGTGTGTCTTCTCTCTTAGGCTGGGATGCTGTATTCATGCCCAATGGTAAAATGCGCGTAACATCGTTCTACTATCCTTCCGTTGGTGAAGAAGAGAATAGTATCGTATTTGATGGCGAAAGAGGAACAATGAAGGTTAGTGGTGGGCCGGAAAGTAAATTTGCTGGAAGGATAATGGAAAACATCAAATTTTGGGTCAACGAAAGAGGTAGCATTCCATGTTTCTTAGCGGCGTTAACATTAGAGTTTTATGAAGAGAAAAAGGGAGATGGAACTGTAATGATTGGTTGAGGATATTTGCCTTGATATGTGTGTAAATTATGGAATGGGCATTCATCTAAGGGAATAGGAGTTTATGGGATACATACGACATGTATGAGGTAGAGAGTATACGAAATGACATATTAATCTTGCCTGATCATTTTTTTCAAGTCAATTGTGATGTTGGGCACTTTTGAGCAACATCTAGATGCTTAATTAAGTAATGGGAAGAGTATCAATACAGTGGAGAAATTGTCTTTGAATTTCGCTATGGCATTTCCAACCAGTCGAGAATTACTTTCGCCGCTTCTGTATCATTCTAATTACTCGCACCGCTTAACCCATCCCCTCACAAGTCCACTCTGGGCTTCAAAAATTTAAGGCAAAGATATCGAAATATCAAGTATATATAACATGAGAAGTAGAAAGTCGCCTGTTTTCCACCAAATTTCCTCCCATTATATTCTCTTTCTTTCCCCCCTTTTTGAATCCCTCTTCCATATGTTATCCCAACTTGAGAGTGCCCATCATTATTCAAACATTATCCTTTCCTTGACAAGTAGATAGATAAGAGAGATATCCATCAAACCCATTACTCTACTCGCCGCATTCTCTTTCCTTTTCTTTCCTTTCCTTTCAAAAATCAATATTCAAACATAACGCCATAAATGAGTGTGTATTGGGTATCTTCCTCCGTTCATTTTCGTCCCTGTCATGCATCCATGCATTCATCATTCATACCGAATTAAAAGACCGTGATTTGGCATTTCCATACCATGCGTGCATGCGTATTTTTCGTAGAGATCGTAGTGTATCATTCTCCCCTCATCAAGATTATGATTAAAAATAAGGATCGTGTGTATCATGTTTTTTGTCGAACATGTCTTATTGAGACATGAAAGAATAAAAATGAAAATAGAAATAAGGTATAAAACTGATCATGATACGTAAGTAGGACTGTCGCGCGTTTCGTTTCGTTTCGTTTTATCCGTGTCGTGCAGTCGTGAGAATATATATAAAATGCCGAAGCTGTAAATAGAATAATAAAAATTAAAAAAGCAAGAATTGTATTACTGCTAGCCCATGAGTCCCACAAATAACATCGCCATCAATGTAAAGAATACTGAAGGCTTCAATTTGGCTCCAGCACCTTCAACCGGTCCAGTCCCTAAAGCGCTGGCAGATCCAGAGCTGGTTGATGAAGAACTAGTTTGTGAATTCGTTGTAGGGGTTGGAGTTGAGGTTTGGGATTGAAGGGATGATTCAGAGCTGAATGTCGAGCTAGATCCCGAGCCAGATCCTGAGCCAGATCCTGAGTTTGATGTGGCACTGGAGCCGGAGCCTGAGCCGGAGCTTGTGGCGCTTACACTGGGGAGAGTCGAGGCTGTTACGGATGGTGATGTGATTCCAGTTCCAGTTCCGGTTCCGGTTCTGGTCCCAGTTCCTGTCCCACTTTCGCTCCCGCTTCCACTTCCACTTACAGAAGCCGTCGGTACGCTAACGACCGCCGAAGAAGATCCAGATGGATTGCCGCCGGTAGAAATCGGTGCTGAGGAAGCAGAAGACGTATCAACCGGTGCAATCTGGCTCGTAATACTAACACTCGGGGTAGCGCTTGCAGTTGGGCTTGC